TTCCACACAGCTGCCTTTTGCAAAAGACAGGCTGGACAGAAATATCCCTTTTACTAGAGATTGATTATTCATGGAATTGGTTATTCCACCCCCTCTCCAGAACCCCCTCCCAAAAAAACCCTGAAAAAAACCCCCACATAACCCAAGAGGAACAATGAGCACACAGCAAATGATTCATAGAAGTCACACAGTTTGTGTGCTCCTAGGCTGATGACTACGCATCACAAGGGAAGAGCAAACAAGTACTGCATGTAAAGGAGAGCTCTTTCTGTAGTTTAACAGCTCGTCTGAAACATTCGTGCAGTGCTGTCTCCTGGCACAGAAGAGGCCGCTGAAGAGATGTTCCCGTGCCTCATTTCAGCTTTCACTGAGCTCGCTGGCAGATCTTGTGTGCAGCATCTCATAGGAGCATTTACAGCCGGTCAGTGAAGGGCAAAGAGCTTTTCGGCAGCTGATGCTGGCAGGAGACAGGTAAACTTTACAGCACGATAATGGTCACCGAACCAGTGGTTCTGTCTTCTCCAGTTTGGATAAGATCAACCAATCCTGAGTCCTGCATTTCTCTTGAAAAGATTCAAAGCACGCTATGAGCTACCTCCCTGCTGCTCGCCATAGGTTGTACTTGGTATCAGATGGAGATGACAGTTCTTGGTGCTACTGAAACCCTGACTGAGCCCTGGGCAAATCTCTCAGCTGTGCTGTGCCCTAAACAACGCTTCAGGATCTGCACTGAAACAGCCAACAGCCAGGTTCTCTGTCTTCATGGAGAGTCCCTGTGAGCAGGGGACACCCTCCCCACTGCGCGTAGGGCTGTTAGCTGCCCTGCTGCTCCCCGAGTCCCCGCTGTAGATGCTCAGGGAGACACAATGATGTTCTGTCATTTTCCTACTGCTCAGGTGACAGCTGGTGGATAGAGCTGCTGGGAAAACACACCACCGGTTTTCTGTTCTCACCCACAGGGTACCATTCCATCCCACACGACATCAGAGATTTTATTATCATTTATTTCTAGTCTTCAAACTTTTCACCCGGGCTTGTGACGCTCATTTTCTTAGCCATTACCTTGGCCTCTGGACAACATTCCCAGGCTCAGAGAGGCAAGATGCTTAGCTTTCAGCACCTTTCATTGTACCAGTCCTCCTACCCATAGGGTTTAGCCTCCATTTCCTTCATGTGGCGTGGCTGGAAGAAAGGGTAAGTGAAAGGCTGACACAGAAGCAGAGGCACTCAGGGACAGGTGGATGATCTCTGTGCTGTAGGACAGAGAAAAGCTCCCATGGAGAAGTCAGGAATAAGCCTCGAACAGGCCAACTTCAGGTCATGGAGATGAAAAATCACACCAATCATGAGCAGCTACGGGGAGCAAAGTTGTCTACCTGCTCTTCTGGTGTGCAAACTCAACTGGGGAAACACAAAAATTGCCTAAAGAAATCGCCTTGCAGGGTGTCAGACAGACAACTAGAGTTTCCACAGATTTTAGGCAGTCCCCAAGTCATCCTCCCTGCTTGTCAAAGTCAGTTTTGTTTGTTGTTTGGCTGCAGCTGAGGGCCTGATGTTACAACATGTAGGACGTCAGAGCTCCTCAAACAGAAGCAGGAACTGTGATCCCACAAGCAGGGCCACAGACAAGCACAGAAGACATGTGAAGTCAGGGGATCACATCAGCTGCTAGGATCCAAGCAAAACTGGTCTCTCAACCTGAACCATCCTCACCTCGAAGGTTTGTAATGCTCCCTGCAGTGAAGCACAAACTTTCTCTGACCTGTCAACAAGCAAGAATTATCAGAGCTACTCGAGGTATCCAAGTTGAAGCAGGCAGTGGAACCACTGCCTCAACAGCCCATTTACAGCCTTTTCCTCATCTTCACCAAACCCTGAAATTGTTATCAAACTGAGCACTCTGGTAAGCCTATATGGGAGAGGTTAATAGAGAACGAGCTCCTGCTAGCTCTTCAAGTTATAAAACCAGTACTTTTACAAAGACACTGGAGAAAACTGGTTGTGCCTCCTTTCAGAAAGGACTTGCCCTGGGGTGACATGGGCATAAACACACCACTGCTTTCCCACCAGGAGAAGTGCTGCTTCCACTGCCTCCAGGCTTAAGCAAGAGAAGGCCTCTTTGACGTATCTAGAAGTAGACGGGGAACCCCAGGCAGGAAACGACCCGTCACAGCAAAGATAAGAGTCAGAAAAGCCTCTGGCCAGCCATGACCGGAGTTGCTAGGTTAGTCCAGTATTACTGGCCAGTTCCTCAAAGGCCAGCACACACGCAGGCAGCTCCCCATCTGGGCGTCTTTGCAAGATGACAGTAAACAACTTGGGCCGTGGCAAGATGTGTCAGAAATGTCCCAGAGCAGCACTTGGAGCACATCTAGTATTTAAGACTTCCTCCTCCTCTACCATTCTGCAAATGTGATTAAAACCTTTCACAGATGTATGCCAGAATATATGACAAGACAGACAGTTATGTACAAGAGGGTGGACAGCAAAGATTCGGGCTCTTTAACTGCTTCTCCCTTAAAGCTTCTCTGAAGAGGACATCAGTTCTGGGAAATTCGTAAGAAGCAGAAGACAACACTGAAGCAACCATCAATGCTGCTGGAAAGCTATTGCTTTTGTGGAGCAGGCAGGACCTCTGAGGGAGATCAAAGAACCTACAAATTACCTGACTGTATTAGACTGCTTTTGAAAAAAACCTCTTAAACAGCATCTGACTTCTGAGGCCAGTAATAGCCATTACACAGCCCCAGTTCTTTGGCTTGTCCTAAGCCATGTCTTCCAGTCCAACCCTCTACTGTGGTCTTTCCCCATGCCATTGAGTGTTTCGAAGCACTTGGTATAATTGTACGAGCACACACTTCAGCTGGCACACTCACCTGTTCTGCGATGGAAGCTATTCCTGCTCTCCTAAAAGGCCCCAGGGAGAAGTCACCTCCTCTCCAAGAAGTCATTCTCTCAGGTATGTCATCACAAGGTCCAACACATCGGTATCTCATTGCACAGCACACTCGGAATAGAACAACTTTTGCCAGCTCGTTACTAGCTCTTGGGATGCCTGCTGGGTACTGCACTCTTGTATTTCAAAACCGAAAGAGAGAAGAGGGGTTACAATGACAATCCAGTGAATGCTGCAAGGACAGATGTTCCTGGAAAACACTGCCATTATTCTTTAGCTCAATCATTTATTCAGCTGCAAACTCTTCTCCACTTCTTCGTTCCCATCTCTGCATTCCACATTGCAGAGAGTGCTTTAAATTATCACGCAAGTTGACTCCTTTTTAATATTTCCTTTAATACAGGAAATTAACTAACCACACCAACACTTAAATGTCAGACCATAGAAGTTAACAACTTAACCTGTACCAACTATTTCTACCTATGGCAGATCAGCAGCTTGCACATGAATTGTGAAGATTCAGCCTTCTGCTGACACCCAATAATGAAAATGCAACTGCCCCAGCTGCTTAAAGGATATTGCTGGATTGAGAAGAAATACTAATCCATAGCCTAAATATTACTAAATTCAGCAAAGCTTGGGAATCCCTCTCAACCCTACACTGCAGGCACCACGCTTATCTTTAACCAGGTCCCAGTTTACTGTTTTTCACTACAGCTCTCCCCAGTGAGCCTAGGACAAGCTGCAGAGACACAGTGTGACAAAGGACAGTGCATTTAGACTGCCCAAGGCCACTCTATAGGTCAGAGGCAGCAAGCTGGGCAACGAGAAGAGCAAAGCTGGGCTCTAAAGTATAACTTTTGCAGAAAGAGGATTATGCCAGAACCAGATAAAACTTCACTCAGAAAACAAAGGTGACTGCTGTTTAAAATCCACTGTTAAGTGTTACTCTTGTGTGCAAAAGTGCAATGCACTGCAGCACAAGGCAGCAAAGCAGGTCACGAGCAAAGAAGCTGGAGCAGCTTTAAGAGCTGCACCCCACCCCAGCCACTAAGAACAAGACCTGCAGTGATAGCTGCACTTTGCCATGGCAGAAATCCTTCAACAAGCCACAAAACAATGTACAATCCCAACTGCAGAAGTGTAGACTGGGAACGAACACACTACACTCTCCAAACTGGCAAAATCTGCATTTAATTTACAACATAGTAAAGGTTACAGGTAAAAAGCTCAACAGAAAGTGTGAAAAGGCCTATTACATATTACACAAGTGTACAAACTTCTGTACAAAGCCCCTAGATGTTATACTATCCCCTCCTGTACTGGCCAGCTATGGCCCCTAAGCTCTAAAATAATGAGAGCTTGTTCAAACCCAGGGAGGAGAAGAGCTTTAAGAAACAATGAGCAGTAAAGCTTCCCTTTTCAAGAAAAATCTTGCAAAGAGCCAC